TTTGGTGGTGAGCCTAACCTTTAATGGATGAGCCATCTCTCCAGACCACAAAGATTATTTTTCTATTTCTATTGAAAACACTATTGTGAATTTAATGGAGTTTGCATCAAGCATGTAGGTTGCTTTGGAATATCAACAGTCTAGTATTGTTAATTCTCCTATTCTGTGAATATAGACTATCTTCCTAATTAACAACTCCTTCCATTTCTTTCATGAATTTTTTTGTTTTGTTTTCAGTGTGTGGCTCTTTTCACCTCCTTGGTTAAATTTATTCCTAAGAATTTTATTTTATTTGCTATGATAAAATGGATTGCTTTCATGATTTCTTTTGAGATAGTCAGATGTACAGAAAAGCTGTTAATTTTAAACACTGGCTCTATATCTGGCAATTTTACTGAATTCAGGAAGTTTCTAAGATCTCCTACATAGAAAATTGTGTTATTTGGCAACAGACTATTCCAGTTCTTCCTTAATTGCCTATCTCTACTTTCCCTGTTGAACAGTATTTCTAACACTGTGTTCAACAGAAGTGGCAAGAATAAGTATCCTGCCCTTTTCTTATTCCTAATCTTGAAGACAAAACTTTGACCTGTCACCATTGAGTATGATGCTGCTGTGACATTGTCACAGAAGGCTTTATTGCATTGAAGTATATTCTGTTCTACATTGATTTTTTAGATATAATATGAAGAAATGTTTAATTTTGTTTTGCATCTGTTCAGATTTGTGATTGTCACAGAATTTTTCATGTCACTGTAATATTGAAGATAAATCCACTAGAGAATAGTGAATGGTCCTATTATTAAGATGTTGAATTCAATTTGATAGCATTTTGTTCAAGATTTTTCCATCTATGTTATTGGTGATACTATATTTTCTTTTACAGAGTAATTTCTTGGGTTTAGTATCAGATAGCACAGACCTCATAAAATTAGTTTATGAGTTTTTCCGCCTCAAAGTCAGTTTCTCTACAGCTTCTGAAATTTGGCAATAATTGGTATCAGTTGTTTAAATGGAACAATTCATCAATGAATGATCAAATTCTTTTCTTCATAAGAATATTTTTATCATTGGTTCAGTATCTTTACATATGATTCATCTGTTCACATTTCCTACTTCTTTATGTGTATTTCTAGGAATTTGCTAATTTTTTTTTTAAGTTTTATAATTTGACCTGTAAGTTTTCATGCCAGGCTCTTGTAAGCCTTACTGTTTCCCTGGTAATATTTGCATAACATATCCATTGCCCTGCTGATTTTGAGCCCTCTCTCTGCTTATGTAGTATATCTAAATGTTTGTTTATTTTGTCCTTTCAAAAGAAGAACTTTATTTACTGATATATTCAGAATTTTCTAGTTCTTTGTTTCTGCTCTGGCTTTTGTTATTTTCTTTTCCTAAGTATGGATTTGCTTTGTCCTTTTCTCTGGCTCCTTGAGTATAATGTCAGGTTGTTTATTTGACATCTTTCTTCCTAATATCTTCAAAGTTATTATTCAAAACTTGTTTTTTGGAAGTATTTTTTCTTCATCCTTTAATTTTTCATGTCATATTCACATTTTCAATTGTCTGAAGATATATTTTCAACATCTCTCTTTTAATTTCTCCTTTGACTTATTTGAAAGACCAAGAGCCAAGGGAGAGTTTTAGAAATACAATTAGCTTGTTAATTCTTCAAAAAAGTAAAAATTTAAGGAAATTTGAGACAGTATCAGTAGATCTAGTTTTTCAGTCTAATCAGCAAACCTATCTCTTTATTGGTGAGTTGAATCCATTTACATTTAAAATTATTATTGGGAGACATTTAACAATTCTTATAACTTCACCATTGTTTTTCTAGCTGATCAGATTATTGTTTATTTCTTCTACTGGTATCAGGGAGCTCTTGTTTATTGTGTTGGGCATTATAAATTCTTTCCTAGCTCCCCTCTGTTTGCCTATCCCACTCAGGAACTCCATTCTTTCCTGTGTTCTCAAGATGGAAACTGACTTTCTTCCCTCCCCAACCCCCACCCCGGGCCTCTTTTTAAATTTAAATTAGAAACGAGCTTCTCTTTTACATGTCAATCCCAGTTCCCTCTCCCTCCCCTCCTCCCCTGGCCCCCACCAACTCCCTATCCCATCCCCTTTTTGCTCCCCAGGGAGGGTGAGGCCTTCCATGGGGGATCTTCAAATATCTTTTGGAGCAGGGCCTAGACCCTCCCCCATGTGTCTAGGCAAAGGGAGTATCCTTCTACGTGTAGTGGGCTCCCAAACTGTATTTGTGTACTAGGGATAAATACTGATCCACTACCAGAGGCCACATAGATTAACCAGACCTGCAAACTGACATCCTCATTCAGGAGGTCTGGAACAGTCCTATGCTGGTTTCCCAGCTATCTGTTTGGGGACCATGAGCAACCCCTTGTTCAGGTCAGCTGTTTCTGTGGGTTTCTCCAGCCTAGTCTTGACCCCTTTGCTCATCACTCCTCCCTCTCTTCAACTGGATTCCACAGTTCAGTTCAATGTTTGGCTATGGGTGTTTGCTTCTGCTTCCATCAGCTACTGAATGAATGCTCTAAGATGGCATATAAAGTAGTCATCAATCTCATTATGGGAGAAGGGCATTTAAGGTATCCTCTCAACTATTGCTTAGATTATTAGTTGGGGTCAACCTTATAGATCTCTGGATACTTCCCTAGTGCCAGATTTCTCTTTAAGCCTATAATGGCTCCCTCTATTATGGTATCTCTTTTCTTGCTCTCCTCTATTCTTCCCCTGACTCAATCTTCCTGCTCTCTCCTGTCCTCCTCTCCCCTCCTCTTCTCCCCTTCTCTTTCTTCTAACTCCCTCTTCCCTTCCCCCATGCTCCCAATTAGCTCAGAAGATCTTGTCCCTTTCCCCTCCTCTGAGAGACTATGTATATCTGTCTCTTAGGGTCCTCCTTGTTTCCTAGCTTCTCTGGCAGTGTGGATTGTAGGCTGGTAATCCTTTGCTTTATGTCTAAAATCCATATATGAGTGAGTACATACCATTTGTGTCTTTTTGTGACTGGGTTACCTCACTCAGGATGGTTTCTTCTAGTTCCATCCATTTGCCTGTGAACCTAGATGCCCTTCAACTGAAAATTGGATGGAGAAAATGTGATGCATTTACATAATGAAGTACTACTCAGAAGAAACTGTCTTTCTTTCCCCATTGTGTACAGTATTCCTTTTAGAATCTTCTACAGTCTTGGCTTAGTGGTCATGAACTACCTTAGTTTGTGCCTGTCTTAAAATGTCATTATTTCTCTGTCAGTTTTAAAATACAGTTTTGCTGGATATGTCAATGTTGGTGACATTTATCTCTAAGGCTTGAAATAGATTGTTCTGCTGTTTCCTGGCTTTTAATATTGCTGATGAAGCTGGGCAGTGATGGTGCACAATGAAGCTGGGCAGTGATGGTGCACATCTTTAATCCCAGCATTTGGGAGGAAGAGGCAGGCAGATCTTTATGAGTCTGAGACCAGCCTGGTCTACAAAAGCTACACAGAGAAACCCTTTCTCAAAAAATAAAAATAAATAAATAAAGATAAAAATATTGCTGATGAGAAACCTGTTGTTATTTTAATAACCTTTCCTTTCTTAATAGATTTATTTTGTTCTTAGGTTTCTATGTGTGTGTGTGTCTGTCTGTCTGTCTGTCTGTCTGTTTGTGTTCTCTATATATATCATGAGAGATTCTTTGTTGGTCATGACTATTTGGAGTTTCTAAATGCCTTTCTTATCTGTCTATTTCTTTCCCTGAATTTGGGGGATTTTCCATTATCACCTCACTGCATAGATCCTTTACTAAACCTTTAATTTATTCATCTCAGTTCCCTTTCTATACCATGGAGTCTCAGGCTTAGGCTCTTGGTTTTATTATAGTTGTTGGGTGTGAGCTTATGGCTCTTTATTTCCTTGTGGTTGAATGTAATATTTGTTAACTTTGTCTTCTATTGCTTGTGTTTTCTTCTTCCGTTTGTTTGGTCTGTTAGTGGTACTTTCTACTGTGTTTTCTGTTTTATTCGTGAGTTTTTATTTCCAAGATTTCTTTCAAACCTTTCATGCCCCTACTAAATTTTTCCTTCATGTTGCTAATTTTTGTTTAAATCAATGCTCCTTATTGTCTGGTCCATTTGCTAATTGCTTTTCCTTTTGTTACTGACTTTCTTAACTAGATCCTGAAGTGAATTTGTCTACTCATTTTAATAGTCTTTTAGGTCATCTATAGTTTTTACAAGTAAACTTTAAAAATCTTCAACCAGAATTTTACCAATTTTAATATCTTTTTATTCTGTAGTTGAGGTCGTATGATCTTTTGGAGAACTCAAATTGCCTTTATTTTCCATATCACTTGTTTTTCTGTGTTGCAATGTGCACATCTATTTGTTGAGATAGGTCCATTAGTTTTAGTTAGGGATCTTCTTGGGCAGCCTACTTTTGAAAAGAATAACAGAACTGCTCTTACAGCTTTTCAGTGAGGCTTCTGCTCCCCTTGCCACCACAGGACTGTGTCCACTTGGTTTATTTCTTTTTCTCCACACTTTTCAGATACCTTTGTGGATTTATTTTTTAAATCTATATGTGTGTATCAGTGTGCCCATGTGTGCATGCATGTTCTCCTGTATGTATGTGCACATGTGTGTGAATATGTGTAGAAGCCAGAGGACAACCTCAGGTGACATTCTCAGGGACATCATACAACTTCTTTGAAGCAGCTCTCTCACTGGGTTTTAGCTCAATAATTCAACTAAACTGGCTGACCAGCAAGCCCCAAGAGTCCTCCTGTCTACCTCTCCAGTACTGAGCTTACATGTGTGTATCACCACACAGGCCTTTTACAATGGTTCGGGGTCAAACTCAGCTTTTTATGCTTGTGAGCGTTTGCCAGTTGTCCTATCACTGCAGGTCCGTTATGTGAATTTCTAAAGCTTTTTATCTCCTTTCTCTTAAGAATATGCTCTACTTTTCTCTTACTCTTACTGTTTGTTTCATCAGGTCACACGGAAGCCACTTCCAGTCTCCCAACTTGCCCTGAAGAAGTGACAGTAAACCATTTGTGATGTCAGAGGTAAGCTTGACTTTTTTCAGTTTGATGATAAAAGTTAAGCTTGAATTTCACATGTGATTAAAAGATGAGAAAGTAAAAACTAAAACAAACAAACAAAAAACAACAAAATGAAAGGCCCTGAAAAGCTGGTTGAAAAGTCCAACATGTTTATTGTGGGGTCAAATAAAGTTTTCTAAGATAGAAAACTCTAGCAGTGTTTGAATGGTGTAAGGGGAAGGATGATTATAACAGTATAAATTTAAGATGGCACAAATCCATAGGAGATTGACTAAATGAGATGTGTGGGATAAGTTTGGCAAATGCTCAGGAAGCAGGAAACCTCATAAGAAGGCCTGTGTTTCTATTTTCAAAGCTAAAGTTGCCCTATGAGCATCCTCTAACTGCCTGATTGATCTTTGGTAACATTCTTTAAAAGTTTGTCTTTTTATTACTTTGTCAATTTCTATCAGGGTGGTTCCAATGACATCAATGTTAGGACTTTCAGTTCCTAAGTTTACCAAAAATATGTAATGTTTAGGGCTACAGCTATTTCTATGATAAACACTTTTAAAAGAAAAAAGATAATGTATAGACATCAAAATTAAAACCATCATAACTTTTTTAATGAAGAAACTACCTTTTCATCTAATACTGTGCTTGCCATGGAGATGTTTAACCAAGCCATTATTGTATATGTGATGTAAAGTTAAATTTCGCTGACCAAAATTGGAGATGTGGTTTATATTTCCATAGTTAGTCGCTATTTCAGGGATGGAGATAGGTGGACTTTTGAGTTATATATTCTTGAGGTACAATAAGAAATTTACTGTGATCTAAAAGTCCCTCCACAATTCATGTGCTAGACAGTTAGTCTCCAAGTGTTGGGAGCTGAGAATTTGGAAGAGCATGAAGACCATAAAGGCCCCACCAAGGCTAATAAACTGAGGCTAGAATAAAAAGAACTTGTTAGGCAATAGAGTTGCTCTTATCTATCCTCCCCACCCCCATCTTCTGCTGGAAGAGGATGAAGTAAGGTCCAGTAAGACAATGACTCTTTGCTTTTATACTTCCCAACCCCCAGACTGTGAGAAATAAAATTCTGTTTTCTGTAAATTACCTACAGTCTGTAACACTGTACTGCAAAAGCACAGAAAGACTATGACAATAACAGAAAATAAATTTTGATGAGTGTAATATGCTCTTCATTCCTATGAAAAGAGGAAGTTCTCATATGCAGTAAATGGGGTAGAAAAGACTTTATAATCTGAAAACTAATAAATCAGATGTTTGCATCACTGTAGTAAACAAAATAGAATGTTCTGAAGTTATCATCTCCCAGGAGAAGATAATCAATTTTCCATCCAAAAGGTAAAAAACTCTCGTAAAAACTGGCAAGGGAAGTAATGTGTCCATTCAACCAACTAGACACAAAAAACGAAAATCTAGTGATTGGGTTTGGCAATATGGCTCCGTGGATAAAGGAATTTAGCATGCAAGCCTAGTAACCTAAGTTCAACCCCCAACTTCACAGTAAACTAAGTTCAATTCTCGACTCCACAAAGTTGTTCTCTGCCCTTTATATGTGTGTCATGGCATATATGTTACCTTCTCTTCCCCCATTAAAATAAAGGCCAATGATTGGACTTTTCTTAGGCCCTTCAAGTGACTACGGAGCATCAGACACCCTGACAGACATCATCCTAAAGACCTTCATGGGTTGGCCTGATACAGAGTCTTCCAGTGCTACAGTAGAAAAGTACATAAGTGAAAGATGAGAAGTAAACCAGTGTATCTGCAGGTGTTGCAACTTTGGTGATTAGCTTAAAACTCTTCTAGAAGACTGATTCCAAGTCCTTAGCGTATTCCTGCATTGAGTAAAGACAAGCAATATGACACTAGCCTAAAGAGTAGGTCATGGGGGAACAGGAAGGTTGAGTGGGGGGGCAGGATATAGGGGGAAGAGGGAATCATAGGTTAGAAGACAGATCAGGCACCTGTGAGACCTCTAGTGATCAAAAGGGATGACACCAACTGGCAAACTAAGCAATAGTGGAGAGACCACCTTAAATGTCCATTCCTGATAATGAACTTGATGTCTATAACCATCCTGGATCCTTCATCCGGTGACTGATGGACGCAGAGGCAAACACCCACAGTTAAACACTGAACTGAACCCAAGGAACCCAGTGACAGAGAGAGAGGAGCAATGAGCAAATTGGCAAAGAATGGGCTGGCAAAACCAGCAGAGACAGCTGATCTGAACAGGGGAGAGCTCTTGGACCCCAGACTGACAGCTGGGAGGCCAGCATTGGACTGATCCAGACCCCCTGAATGTAAGAGTCAGTGAGGAGGCCTGGGCAACCTATGGGGCCCTGAGCAGTGGATCAGTGTTTATCCCTGGAATACAAACAGACATCATGTGTCCATAACACAAAGAGGGATGCTCTCTCAGCCTGGATTCTTAGAGGAGTGCCTGGACCCTGCCCTGAGTGAAATGACAGACTCTAGATATCCCCTATGTGGAAGGAAGTGGCAATAGGGTGGGAGGCTGGGGGGGAGATGGTGGGGGAGTGCGGGAGGAGGGGAGGGAGAGGGAACTGGGATTGACATGTAAAACAATCTATTTAAAATTAAAATAATAAAAAAAGATAAATCCCTGCAGCATTTGAGTTGAATAACATGATCAGGTATAAATAAAATAATGACCCATAGAGCAGTCAAGGAGACAATGCATTAGCTGATGCTCTAGCAAAGCTCCTAACATTTGATGCCACTGGAGGAGCAGTGCTTTGATGAGGAACAAGTGATCTCCCTGGATCCTTTACAAATTAAACCTGTTCTAGAGTGCTTTATTTTTGGTTTCAGGAGAACAGTGAGGCTTTGAACAGGCACAGGTTGTTATATTCACATTTCCATACAACTGTAGTCTGCGCATCTTAGACATACCCTAAGATACTGACTATGGCTCCCATAGTTATCTTATGATATGAATACTATGTCAAAGAGAGAACACTTGAGAGTTTCTGAGCTAACCTGAAACTCACATCTTAGACATACCCATGGATACTGATTTTGACCCATATAATCATCATAGGATATAAACACTATGCCAGAGAGAGGGAAGGGGGGTTTACTCAGCTTACCTGAAACCTCAAATTCACACGCAGAAATTGGTATTTGTAACAGACTTAGTCATCATCATCCAACTGGAATCAGCCAAGATAACTTTACTAGAGACTGAATATGCATGTTGGCACATTCCTACAATGCAAAACTATTGCTATGATCTAATGTTTGTACTTTCACAAAGTCTGTCTTAAAATCCTCATCCTAGCATGATGGTGTAAGAAAGTCTTTGGGAAGCATGCTGGTTAGCTTAACTGTCAAAAGACACAACCTGAGAAGGGAGTTTCAACAGGCAAGTCTATGTGGGACTGTCTTGATTGTTAACTAACCCAGCCTACTATAGCATCGCTCCATGGGCATGGTGTCTAAGCTGTGTAAGAGTAAAGAGTGGAAGAGGCTGTCTAGAGGCAAACAGGTAATATTGGATTATGTCTCCCTGCACTGTGGGAGTCATGTGACAAGCTGCTTGAATGACTTCCCCAAATAAAGTACTGTAACCAGATAAGTTCCCTCCCCTAAACTACTTTCGGTCATGGTGTTCCATTACAGCAACAGAAATGAAACTAGGTTACTCTATTACAAAAATGAAAATTTCAGAATAAATGATGTTACAAAGAGGCCCAAGATTTCAACCACAAAGAACTACAGCAACCAAGGAATGCTGAGAGCAGGAGAAATAGTTTTCTCCAGGGAAGAGCCTTCCAATTGGCTATCCAATACCAAGTGGTCAGTCCTGAAACCATATACATACAAGTAATACATGGGCTAAGCAGGTTTCATTTCTATATTGAGAAAAACATATGTATGTGCACATATATGTATGTATGTGTATATATACATATCAACAACTAAAGAAAAATAGGTCATGAATTTGGAGGAAAGAACAAGGGTTCAGTAAATGTATGAAGTTAGAAAGAGGAAAAAGAAGGACAAATATTATATGATTATATTTTAACTTCAAAATATTTTTTTAAAAAGAGGCCCCAAAGAGGACCTTACCACTTTTACAGGAAAAAATGACCACCTAGGAAGCATCTCTTCGCAAGACACTGAATCGAATAATATCTTGATCTAGACTTTCTCACTCCTAGAACTGTGAGAAATAAATTTCTTAGCATTTATTGAGAAGCATACTATAATATTCTTCTTATAGAGATCAATGGCAATATTGACAGGCATTAACTAAACATGGTTAGTAAATGAAAAAGACAGGTTGCTGACTTCTGGGCCTCTCTTCTGTCATTTCCACTATATTACAGATGTGAGGCTCAGTGTACAGAGAAAAGGCTGAGTGAATATTATCACCCATCACACATGAAATGGCTATTATATGAGAAAGGATTACTTGGAAGAGATAATCAGTGCTGAGAGAACTGGACCCATCAAAGGCCAAATTAGTGTCACTGAAGGCATATGAAATGGAAGAAAGCTTGTCTTAGGGTTTGTATTGCTGTGAAGGCACAGCTTGACCACAGCAACTCTTATAAGGGAAAAAAATATAATTGGGGAGACTGGCTTATATAGTTCAGATATTTAGTCCTTACTATCATGGTATGACATGGCAGCATGCTGGCAGACATGGTGCTAAAGAAGTCCTACATCTTGTAGGGAACAGGAAGTAATCTGTCTCACTAGGTATAGCTTGAACATATTTGAGACCTCAAATCCCACCTCCACAGTGACACACTTTCTCCAACAAGACCACACCTACTCCAATAAGGCCACCCCTCTTAATAGTGCCATTCCCTTTGGTGGCCATTTTCTTTCAAACTGCCACAAGGCTACAATGCATAAATCTATAGGAATAAGAAAGTAAAATGCATTCTGATTTTCCTAGAAGCTCAAAAGAACAAGAATTTGTGAAAAGATTTTTCCTTTCCTCTCATCTTTTAGATAAACTTCTCTATTTGCCTTATGAAAGCAGAAGTGGAAAAATGAAAGAGAAGACATGTTAACAATGACCCTGGAAAAAGTACCACCAATAGTCTCATTTGCCGAAAGCTATGGGATTGCAACAGCAAAACCTTTCTTGGAACATACCAATCATTGTCACTCCATTAAGAAAAGGTGAAAGAAAGGATGAGGGCCAGTGTTTTTCCAGGATATCTGGATCTGGTAGTGCCATCTCCCCCTGCACACACTTAAAGCTCATGCGGATCCTTCAAAATACCATGCTAGTGTTTGGTTTCTCTCTCCAATCCCAGTAGCAAAAAATGTCAAGTAAGAAACTGAACTAGCATTGGAAATGCTACTTCTAATCCTACTTTGGCTAACTGCTACCTGACCAACAGTTTCAGAGTTAAATTCCTGCATCTAGAATAAATATCATTATTACATACTAGTAAAATAAAGATCTGAGTGCTTTAGCTGACTTCCAGTTTAGAATGACTAAATGGAAATAATATTATGATAGTCGTACTTATGTGCGTGGTACTAAGATTCACCACAGGCAGTGGAGCTCCTGAGGCCCTGCACTTTACATAGAATTTTGGAGTGCACGATGCTTAACATTAGTTCAATGTGTGTTCTTCTACCTCAGATAAGACCAATCTATAATTTCCTACCACTTCAAAGATGTTGTATCTTGCATACTTCATTCCTTTACCTTAAGTACCTCCGTGTGTTGCCTATAGATTTGGAAAGCAATACAGTTATCACAAAAGTAACTACTAAAAAGAGTCATTGGTCACAAGTCCTCTATTTTGTAGAAGACAGACTTTATAAGTGGCTAAGAAAGTTAGAAGGAATTTTCTTTTTTCTGTTGCCAAACATTTTCCAAGATTTTAGGGGTTTATGACATAACCTTCTCATGTGGTTTTATAGACAATGCAAGGTTGCCCAATATTTCTGGGTCTTGCACTCAACTGTTTTGAACTCCATATAGTTGTTGACTGATGTCAGAAACCAGTAGGTTTAAATGGGATAAAGGAAGCGCTCTGTATCTTCAGTGTGGACATGGTACCATGTGATTAATGTCAACTCTAGAAAAAATAATTTCTCCTAGTAAAACATTATACTTAAATCACACAGAGAATGCTTCTCTATTCTTTAGCTATCATGAAATTGAAAGTTATGTTTTCTGTTTGTTTTAATAGCATTCTACTACATCTAACTTTATTGATTGATACTTGGTGATTCTCTCTGACTTTTAATTTAGCTTTTGTTTGATTGATTCTGTGATGATAGTTTGGAGCTTTTACAAATTTCTGTATTTATTTTGAGACCCCTATATGTCTTTTAAACATGTAGGAGTAAAGCCAGATGCTAAAGTAAGTCTCTGGAAGTCGGCTTTAACTGGCACAATGTGATCTGGTACGAAGATACTGGAGTGACAGCAAGGTAATCCCTTCCTCTTCAACATGCAGGAATTAGAAAGAGACTCTCCCAGGGCCAACTGCTAGTTAGTAGAGAAGAAGTTTTTGCACTAAGGTGGGACTGCACACTCCCTGCACTCAGGGGCAAAGCCTGTGTACTGTGAACAAATGTGGGATTCACAAGAGTTTTGACCAATGAGGATGTAGGTTAATGCTGGAATGTATGTCTGCATTCTTTCAGATCAAGAAGTGTGTCTGTTTCTACCATAAGGAAACCTTCAAACTTCTAGCTTATCAATCATGTTTCTGCTTCTCCTAGCTAATAAAAATGCTTCCCCTCAGTGAAATTATCTCATTGAAACAGAACAAAAGGCAAGCATTTCATCTCCATAACATTTCGTCTGAGGAATTTGCTTTGTTAAAAGAGTACATGAGGTTGCATCACTTTGTACTAACTGCTATCTTTAGAATCAGATGCTCATCCACAGTACCGTAATGCTTGTTACAGCTTAGGTGAGGGAAGTGGAAGGCAAAGGTTATTAGTGTGAGCTGCATCTCAGATGGGTGAGTCTTGACAGGGTGGAGTAGTTAAGAAGGGTAGAAGTAGGAAAGTGGAACTGTCTGACTCATCGGGAATGGAAGCAGCTGAGGTTAACACTAATTGCACCCAGCTCTCACTTTTGCAAGTTCTAACACTTGCCAAAATGTATCTGTAGGAGCAAGGTTTCTCTGATGTAATTTTGTACTCTTTAAATCACTAACTTGACTATAACCCAAAAAACAAATCAATTGCAGTACAGTTAAAAATATACTTTTTATTGTAGTTTTAAAATACAGAAAAGGAACTGAGTACACATTGAAAGCAAAGACTGAAATGATAAAATTGGGATAAATTCAGATGCTGTATATTGGTAGCTATCCCTCTGTCTGAAGTACAGAAACTTCTTCTGGTTCTAAAAAAAAATCACAATTCTGTTGGACCTTTGCTGGGAGTGTGGCAACATCATATTGTCATTTTGTCTGCCTTGATTGTTCTAAGAAAGAGGCAGGGACGGAATGACATTGGTAATATATTTAAAAAAATAGCTCCATTAGTAACATGCCTGCTATGTAAGTATAAGGACTGGAGTTTAGATCACCCAAATCCATGAAACAGGGAGACATAGTGGCACACACCTGTAACCAAAGACATGTGGGTGGTGAGGTAAAGCAGTAATAGGTAGATCCCTAGAGCCAAATGGTGGGCCAGCCAAGCCAAATAAATGAGCTCCAGGTTCAGGGAGAAACTATGTCTCAAAGTCTAAGGTAAAGAGCAACACTCAGTGTGCCACCCACAAGCACATGCATGGCTCTCCCACAACATATATGTGCACACACCTACACAATCACATACATCACACACACACACACACACACACACACCTTTTACAAAGAATAGTGTCCTAGTGAACCAGTTTTTCAAAAGAAATGCTTTGGTTTGTAGTGTTTGTCAATATACATTGTATAAAAATTCCCAGACTGCACAATTCAAAAAAAAATTAAACAATTGCTTTTTATGAAGTAGTGTTAGCCCATGCCAGCACAGGGCTACTTACAACACAACAAATAAGAACACTAGCAGGTTTCTATAAATATATATGATGTAATTTTAATTTCCTGAGAAAATATGCAAACACAAGAGTATTTGTACTCTACAGAAATTCAACAAGTATTCACAAAAAATAAGAAGAAATAGCTTAGCCTACAATAAGTATTTTTGTTATATACAATAAAAATATTTTAAATTAGCCTTATATAAAACATAATTATAATATAGCTTTTCACAAATACCCATAAATATTGTAAATTGGTTTAAAATACTTTTCAGCAAGAACTTGCAAGCTGGTTAAATTTAACAGAGTCCAATTTTGAACATGAATGTTCTTTATTACTTGGAGAAGTCAGCACGCTTAAATGAAATGGGATCTTCCAACAGGATACTGGCTTTTCTTGCTCCAGGCAAGAAGAGGACAATGTCTGCAGGTAAAGAAAGACTCTCTTGTAGCTTCATTCTGGCCACCTTGGGGTAAAGGCAATGCATCCATTTTAAAGTTGAATAAATTCCGTTTTACAGATGTTTAATGAGACAGTAGAAATACCAATTTCAAATCAGAGATCATGTGAATGGCAAACTCTTACTCAATTCATTGTGAATTTGAAATGAGGTAAGAGTTTTATGATCCATCTATTCATGTTCTCATTGTTCAATTTTTTTCCTAAAAAATATTTGCCCCATTAACATCATAGAGTTGGTTGGTATAGGAAAATTGGTATATTTGCCAGTTAGGGAACACAAACTAAAAATTTGGAATCATTACATAATTGGCCAGGGAAGTACCAATTTCTAGGGTTAAATCTAATGACTACTAGAGCAACCTCTCATTTTACTGTTTGCAGTGTTTATACACACAAAAACAATGGAGGTTTACGAGAAAGTTCAGAATGAACCTGCATCCTGAGCATGATGAAATCAAGAAAAACTCCAAGATCAATCTCATTCCATAACATCTCCACCTCTGTCCCAATAGGTTTCATAGTGCTCTCTATCCTCTAAAAATACCACATCTAAAGGAGGGTGTTGTTGTCATATCTTGGCCACCCCATCAGTCTGACAGCTTTTCATTAGAAGGCTCTCAGAAGGTAAGAGTATGAAGGGATTAAGGTAAAGCAGTTCAAGGAGATTATGATTTTTTAAAAAAAAGGTCAGGCTACTGCCCAACATCCTTTTTGTAAACCAAGTAAGAGTCCCATGGAAATAGGACCTCATTTTCCACCCAGAGATTCAAGGGTTAGACAGATGGTTTTTGGAAACGTTTCTGTCCTCTGTTACCCATACTCATTTTATCATGGATTATGAAAGTGTATTTTTCTAGACCCAACATCAGGGATTTGGCCAATTCACTGAGTCTTCTTCAGACTGATGTGAGGGTTACAATATTATGATGCCAAGAAGTTATATTTGTGTTGATTTGTAAGCCACCACAAACTGTGTGTTGAAGTCAACCGCCCCACCACCCTCCCAGAATTGCCGGATACACCAAGGAAGATGATAAGACCAAACTAAATCTCTAGGAGCTGAATGAGAGATCTGGCATTAAAACAATTCCCCAGTATGTATTATTTTTCTGAACATGGTCATCACTGTTGAACTTCAAATATATGGAATCTCCAGCATGCAATTCATAAATCCCTCCTATAGTTATGACTTGAAAGTCATTTGTTGCAGACTGTAAAACATCTCCTTCTTTAACTAGTTCTACTATAAAGTCAACAGGGATTTTTATGTCTTCTTTATTGACAGGAGTCACTTGGCCATAGATTAAATACACGCCATCCTGAAGTATCTCCAGCTTCCCGTCAGATGTCATATTTACACAAAAAGGCTGAGGAGATGTCATGTGCCACTTTGAAGGTGATAGTTCTATAAGAAATTGAAAAATGAAGGGTAAAAAAGAAATCATGTTTATATTATGATTTCATCTTCTATCTGGTTGTAGTACATTCTTTACTACCTACAGATGGATTCTTAACCTGGTCACATTAGTTTTCTCAGACCATATTTTCAACATATTGTGAAATCCTCATGGCTCTGTGGCTCTTCTTGGGTGGTATGAATGAAAAAGGGAGGGAGAGGAGAGAGGAATCACACAGCAAGACTAGAGTAAGGACTTCCCATATGAATAGTATTTATTCTGGGGTGGTTTACTAATGACACATTCCCTAATCAATCTACACTCAAAGTTGCTCTCCTGTGACTCCCTTGCTCTATACTGCTTTAATTTTCTTCATAGAAAGTATTAGCAAGAAGCATATTATAAATTAATTTGGCAATTTTTTCTACTGTCTTATATCCACTTAAATATGACATTTCTATTTTTCCAATTTCTATATTCCCACCACCTAAGTAAGTTTCTAGAATTGTGTGTGCTCAACAAACTTTTACGTCTTGCTGCATTTCCCAGTCTGGGCTCAAAGTGATGAGTTCAAGTGATCTTCCCATCTCGGCATCAGTAAATATCTCTAAACTGGTGGACAGGCCTGTTTTTCTGAATCTGATGCTTTGTGTCTACAATATATTTCTTCATATTACTTTCAACACCACATACCATTATCTAGCTTACTTCCAAATGTCCACTGGTTCCTTGCTGACTTTATAACTTGAAATAAATGTATTTAATTAAATATAGCTATCCCTAGTCTGATACTGCCACATTGGAGATGGGTAATGTATCCAAATTTAATCTTTCCTTTTTTATGTACTACATATTTCCCTAATGATAGCAGTTTCATACAGCCATGTAACTTCAAAGCCCCAAGAGATGCTTTTAGAGGTTCAAAGTTCTTGTCTGGCCTTTTCTCTAATTCTTGATAACTTTGGTTATAGAGTCTAAAGGCCTGAAAGAAGTAACACCGACTTAAATTCTCATTCATACAGAAACAGCTAGGAGAAGACTTGGAGGTAGATGCTGGAGGAGAAGGAAGGATTGACCACTAGAGCAAAAAGCAAAGACTGCATCGCCAGTGAATTCTATTTCTCTTCATTGGCATGCAGTAGACAGGGATCCAGGAACAAGTATAGTTTTTTTTACCTATTTAACTCAATGGGAATTTTTTAAAAGACACCTTAGCATCATTTTTATCATATTAAGGAGAAATTTAAAGCATTCCTTTCATGGGCAAAAACAAAACACAAAATCAGGGACACATTCAAAGAATGCCCTAACTTCTAAAAACCAAGGTATTTTGAAAACCTGGAGCAAAAGATGGAAGAGTGAAAAACTGAATTATAGAAATTGTCTACTCTCAAATGAAAATGTGGCTTTTGGCCATACAAACAATCAAAAAATGTGTATGCTGGATATTTTGAATATTTTCTAAGGAATATTCTGAGAATCAATGTGATAGTTAGCTTTACTTCTCAACTTGACATAGCCTAGAGTCGGTCAGGAAGGGAGTCTAAGTGAAAACTGTCTATACTGAGTTCGTCTATAGGGGCTTGTTTTAATTAAGTTGATAGATGTGGGAAAATACAGCCCACTACAGTTGGTGCCCTTCCCTAGGCAAGATGTTCTGAACTATGAGAAAGTAGAGAAATGGAACTGAGCATAAGAAAGCAAGCAAGTAAGCAAGTGAGCATTTCATTTCTCTCTGCTCTTGACTGTGAATGTGGCTCGATGCTTCAAGCCCCTGCTGTTGTGATTACTGGGCAATGATGGACGATAATCTGCACTTGTGAGCTAAAATAAATCCTTTTCCTTCTAAGTTGTTTTTTGTCATGGTGTTTTATTAAGACAACAGAAATGAAACTAAAACACTCAGCAACGCTGTTTTTCACTGTTTTCTGAGCAACTATCAGATGACTATAAAGGAAAATGACTCAGAAACAATGAGGAAGCGCCTGTTCCTCTAACTCTCCACTCCTCTTCTATGCACTTACAAATGGCAATAATGTTTCCCGTGTGCTCTACTAGATATGAGAAATTTCTGAAATGTGACAAGTACTTTGAGGAAAGGTGGTAAGAATCTGAAAGGTAACCTTAACAAAATACCAAACTAAAGGCTGATTACACAAGTTCTTCAGTGTGATGTATGTGCCTGTCAGTAGTGACAGCAGATGTGGGCTTGTCAATTTGGTTCAGCTCTGGAAGCCTCAGCTCTCACTAGGCTGGTGGCCAAGTAAAGAATGAGTGATTATAATAAAAACATAAGTGAAAGTGGGCAAAAAGATGTACAGGCTCTTGGGTTGGGGGCACTGACAGCTGCCTCCTTGCATCAGAAACTAAGAAAAATGAAAGGTGGATTACTCACCGAACTTAACCATACAGGGCTCTTTGGCAGTTGGCTGTAGACGGAAAAGAAGAACTGGTCAGAATGATGGCACAATTGCTACTTGCTTGGTTGAATTATTCAGAGCTTAACGATTCCGAAGCAAAACAAATAACAAAAAACAAACAAAAAGCCCACCGCACATAGATACCTGTCTTTTTTCTTTGCTTCCCTCTGCAGATGACTGACTCTGTCCTCTACATTTGACTTACAGTAGCTTTGACATTGGAGTTTAGGGAAGACAGGAAGGAGCAAGTGAGCAAGTGAGGTATGCATGCAAGGGAAGTGGCAAAATTAGACACACTGGAATTTAGCTGTGTAAGGAGACACAGAAAAGCATGAATAGAGTGATGGGCTGTATTATTTTAATTTTTAAAATTCTACCATTGAGTGATAGATTTGATAATAAGAAGAAAGATAGCAGATCTCTCATCCAGGACTTTGGTATCTCATTCTGTTCATCTGACTTTGACCCATATGGTAAGTATTGGAGCTGTGTTCTTTCCCTCTAGTTTACTACAAAGAGCAGTCTCTATATCAGTATGGCTTCCCAATGTTATCTGGTGCATGTGGGAAGAAAATAATGGAACTTCTGCTTATGTTCCTCTTTACTTAGAAACAGCAATGAATTGACTCTAGAAATACTTATTGTAGGTAGCATGCGATTTTCTAAACATTAACAGAGATGCCCTCAGAATCAGATACAACTGTTTCAAATGTCTGCAACATGCCACAGCTTACATGCTGAAAGATAACATTAGTAATGACTAATGTACAAATACAGTCACTTAAATGCTATCAACTGATTGAGAGTAAAATAAGGCATAACTATCAACGTTTTTAGTTCTCAAAATTCACTGGTTTCCTTGAAGCAACGTCCTCAAACGACTTTTTTTTTAACATGTAAAGTGATACACGTTCCTTTTAAAGGATCTGTCCAGCTATTGTGCTAAAAAAAAACCTGAAGAGAATGAAAGGCTAAAGCAATGAAATCAGCTAAGCACTACCAACCAGACTCATGTAAACAGGAACACACACTGCCTCTGACCAAGGTGCTGGAAGAGGGGGAAAGGCCCAACTGGTCTGACACAGTGGTGAGTGTCTGACATAGTAGCATTTAGGAGGCTAAAATAGGAGGACCATAGGTATTAGGTCAAGCTAGGCTATATTTCAAAGAAAGCAAGAAGTAACTGGCATTCTGGCATGAATACTGATGTGAGACACAGGAAGAAACAAAGATAACTCCAAGATTTGGGACTGCAGTCATTGGGAAAATAAAGTTAATTGCCAAGATGGGCAAGACTAGAGAAAACAGTAAGAGAGGAACAATCATGAGTTTTGACTGTGTTAATTTGTAGTGCTTATTAGATATCAAGTAGGCAGTTAGATATACATTGCTGAGACTTATTGCATTCAGACATGCCAAGAGTGTAGATAGAAATGAATACTAGGACCCTTTGGTATTTAAAGATCAGACAATGAGGAAGAACTTTCTAAGGAAGATTGGTGAGTATGAAAAAAATAGAAATGTGTGATGTTTGGGAACCAAGAGAAGAAAGTTTCCTGAAGAGGAGTTGATTAGTTGGTGTCAAATGATAGATCAAAAAAGGAAAAGAACAGGTATCTGGACTGATATAGTCAGAAACATGGTTTCTACAAGAGCAAAAGTTTCACTAGAATGAATTTAAGATGAGATGAGAAAGAGACAATTGGGAAATTTGCTACACAGGAGTATTGTTAAAGTGAGAGGGACCTGGATAAGGATGAGAAGTCAGAAGTCCATCTCCTCTTTGTTTTGGGTTCGGTCTTTGGCTTCATTTGTTCAGATATGAAGGAGATGGCAAGTTTGTTCATTGTCATTTGATGGGGCTGTTCTAATCGAATGAGTGAGGTAGGCCAGAACTGCAGCCATGCTCTTAGCAGGTAAGGCATGAGAGAACTATTTCAGAGGTTGCTTTGCCAGGTGTGTGAATAATGCACCCACGCAAATGAAGGAAATACAGTATGCATCAACACACATGCAGGCAAGTGGCAGAAATAGTCTTCCCTCTCTCATACTGAGAGAGACTGGTAAATAGTTCCAGAAAGTCTGAAGAAGAGCCAAGTGTATAAAATAGTCTAGTAAAGGAAAATGAACGATATGGGAAAGTACAGACCATTTCCATAGCAACAGGGAAACCCTACTTGAAACTAATGGCCATGAGCATATAAAGAAAGAATATTCAAAAGGCCTTGTGTTTTTCAAAGAGACCCAGTACACTTGGATTTCATTATTGTTGGAGGCTTTTGGTTGTTGGGTTTTGACATTGGAGTGTAGTGAACAGAGAAAGCAGCAAATGAGGGAATTTGTTTAAGTGTGTACGGGAAAAGATGTAATTAAAGACTTTGGAGTTCAGTTGTATAATGGGAAAAAAATGATAGTGTTAATTGAGCATCATGGCAATTAAGAATATACAAAGATACTGTAGTAAAGTTTTATCTATTATTCTTTGGGAAGTAATTTTCAATTGTCATAGTGAAAGTCATAAATCAAGATAAATTAGAATATAAACTTTAAGTCATTGTATTATAAAATGTTAAACTAAAATTAAGAAAACAAAAACAAAAATTGTCAAATTACTAGGGCTTTGAGTGTGACTAGGAGGTAGAGGCACTGAGTTTGAGCCCCAGCATTACAAAAACAGTATTTCAGTTATTTTATTATGTTTGTACCATTTGTGAATATATTATAGAAAACTTAACATCTTAGCTACAACAAAGGAGATTTAGACTGGAAGATCTCTATTAAAACTTTAGAGTTGTGAGTTTCCATCTTGTGTGTCTGTTTGTATACATGGTATTGTACTCAGATGTGAGATACTATTTGACATATATCTGTTGGAAATTACAATAGAAGAATTTTATTGATAAGGAGATGCAATAGAAAATGACGGAAGCCATGAATCTAAAAACTATAAGTCACTGGATTTCCTGAAATCAGATTTACTCCCATTTTAATTTTTCTTAGAAGAGATATCCAAATTCAATTTAGAACAACGACTGATAGGGCTTGCATCAGGGACTCCCATAACCCATTTCCTCATCTATTAACCAGGGAATAATAGCAGAGTTCACTGAGCCAGTTGTTTTATGTGTGCTGACTCTTGAGAAGGGCTTTTCCAGATCTGAACCTGCTCAGTAAATATCAGCTATTTTGATCATGATGCTGGTTATAATGAAGAATTAAACAAATAGCTTAAATACCCATATTCCCTACATTATACTAATGTCATAAGCAAGAGAGACAAATTGAATGTATAATTGTTTCCTCTCAAGTTTCTAACTAGAAAGACATGGTTGCATATGTGTAGTGATTAAGTAGTCACCTGAATATAAATGTCATGGATTGTGTTCCAGCTGTTACTGTGTGTAAGAGTACACAGAAAACCTACATCCATAGACAAATGAACTGACAGACACAAACATTCAGAAAACCTATTGCAAGCTTCCTTACTATCTATTGAGTTTGAAAACACCACCAGTTTGTCTTTATTGCCACAAGCAAAAATCTAACTGGAAAACCATCAGTTTGGTTAAAAGATGTGGTCTTCTACTGAGGAAGGAATAAGGCCAGACAAACCATGCAAGTTTTAACTGATCTTGTTAGTTTATATTCATTATGACCTTCTAACTAACAAGGGTATGAATATTCATCACTACCACCTATCTAGAGCTTACCATGAGTCAGGCATGTCAGGCACTTTACTGCCTCATTATTCCTTGAGGCAACTCTGTAAGAATTAGCATGTTCCTTCAGCAAATGAGGAAATGAGGACTGGGTGATGAAGTCACCAGCCCAAGGCCAAATGGCTGATAAGAGGCGAGGTTGGGATCCAAAACCAGACTGTCTCATTCAAAACTCTCACTCACCCCTACCACTCACAGAGGCAGTTTCTATTTATAATCCCGGTGATGTTACAAAAAAGTTATACACAGCCTCTCAGTTTACTCTAGCTTTGCTTTCTTTAATTTAGAAAGGTCAATTTCTCTTCTAGCCTCACTTTGGCTTAAGCCTAGATGACTTGGTTTGTCTTAAACTGGCCAAAACAGATCTTAGACTAACCCTAACCATCTCCGTTTTGGGAAAAAAAAAAAAAACTCTACTCTATTTGTTTGCAAGTAGAGTTGAACAAATTCTATTTTCCCTTCTGGAATTCCATCCTTTATTTCACTGAAGAAAGGGACTTTCCTGAATAGTTGGATTCTTCAGAGGGAACTGCTGTGAACTACTTTCATAGAGGAGTTGGCCAAACTCCTTGAGCTCAGAATCTAGACTATTAACTAGATGTCTTCTAGAAGAGAGAAAAAAAGAATCCCCAAGAAAATTTCTGTTGATCTGAAAGGAATCAAGCATCCCATCTTACTTTTAAGATTACCATCTAGAAGGGATTTTTTGTAAATGGAAATTTGCATGAAAAGGGGGGTAGATAAAAAATAAAATAAAACTTCTAAGCTCCTAAGTATGAGAAGGTGGAAATGACTACCTCATAATGACCCAACATCTGCCATCCACTCAGATCCCTCTCCTCAAGACATTTATTTGTAGCTTATAAGGAAAGTGTAATACTCAAGCTAATACTGAAGGCCAGTGGCTTTTCCATAGGAACTAGGCTGCCAAGCATTCTGTCAAGAAAATAGACTCCAAAACCTTTTTTCCTTTCCTAAGTTTGGAATATACTCACAGGTATGTTTAAAGGGGGAACCCGTCATTGAAAGGGGTGTGTTCTTTTGAGGGGATAATCTTTAATTCAAGCTCAAAACATCATGAATTAACTGAGTTTGATTGTGAAAGGAGGTGTCACTCAGAAGAAAGTCTCCTTCCCCCACTCATCACATGTAGTAGTAGTCCACCGCACCTATACTCAGAAACCAATGCTAGTGTAATTCTTCCTCCTTTTCAAAACTCCCAACACTTGAGAATGCTGATAGTCCTCTCCCTTTTGTGCAACATTTGTTGCTTTAGAAACTCATTTCTTGTTCCTTCTTTGGAAGTGTAGGGCTGTGATTAGAACTCCCTCTGCCTCTCATCCATTTATACAGTTACAGACTACAAATTGATAGGCTCCCATGTGAACCTTCAGCCAGTACATACTAAGTAACCTAGGGTCTACAGCACACTCCCTCCTTCTGTATCTTTCCTGGATGTCTTGTCAGTGGAGAACCACACCTTTAAAATCATTACTGGATGGTCTCCTTAGAAAAAACGATACTCCAACCCTTTATTACACAGGTACACATCATTTTATTCTGCCCAAGGTTTACAGACTTTTAATGCAATGGGCTAACTTCTTGAATTACATAAAGTCTTATGTTACTTTCTTCTGGCCAAATGTTTTTGTTTTGTTTTTCAATACAGGGTTTCTCTGTGTAGCCCTGACAGTCCTGGAAAAGAAAAAACTAAAACTAAAACACCTTCTCGAAAGAACCTATCTTATATACATACCCAGTGCAGATCCCATCTAGACCCAGAATTTAGACTGCAGTTCACTGGGAAATTCCTGATAAGCATCAGGGGCTTCCCAAACAGACATGTGCTCCTCTTTCCTCCATGAAAACCTTCCCTGGTCACCCTAACCCCAAGTCATTATCATCCCTTTAGAATTCCTAAAACTACAACTACATGCCATATACAACTTAGGTAAGTGACTGAGCAATGTAATTATAGCTAACAGGGTGAGAAGAAAAGGGATGCATTCTCCTAGCACCATGTCCTAAATACTAGACCTAAAGTACTAGAATCGGAACAATGAAACAACTTTCTCAAATGGGTGCAGTTGGTGTTGGTGAAATTAACCTAGAGACAGAGTCCAGATTTCCCTTTTTCTAGCTCAGCACCATTTCCCTCTTCAACATGCACATGCTTCCTGTCACTTCATTGTCTTCTACTCTCTTTCTGTGTCTCTTCCCCCATGGAGACCTTAACTTGTCTGGAATCACATGAAGAAGTGCACCATGTTTCAGGTACAAGTGATTTCCAGGAAGGGAAAGAGAGCGCCCCCACAGGCACCTTTTAAAGACTGTTTGAACATGATGTAGTTACACTTATCTCAAGCCCACAGTGGATACTTATAGCATCCTCTGGTGCCTTTTGTCTCAAAGCATTCAGATGAGTTTCAAGAGCCATGTCATTACAAGACTAGAATTTTTTAGACTTTTTGTACCCTCAGATCTCTTCCTTCCCACTACTTCTAGCAATACTGAATGGCAATGATAATAATCAGACTAACAAATAAATAGCCTTTATATACTATAATTAGCACCTGTAGGTTGCTTTACCACCTTACCTTGAGTGAGGAAAAGATCAGTGCACCCGTGGTATAGGACAGCAGCAACAACAGTGGAACTACACATAAGAGCCATGGCCTCCTGAACCTCTGTGCCCCTCGACGAGGACTTGGTGGGTTCAAAGGTATTTGCTCCATGAGGATAGAACTCTTTCTCTGGAGGGATGAGAGCTCTGGAAAGCAAGTGATGGGTGAACGATGCAATGTCATGCTTTATAGTAATTAGCCGTGGGTGTGGGAGGTGGAGTTTTCCTTTGGAACACTGGTGAGCACTGACAGTCATCATGGCATCTGGCCAAAACTACAAAAGGCTTAGAGCCAACAGAAAGACGGGAGGGGGAGAAGCAGCTACGAAGGAAGTTCAGAAGGAAAGAAGTCTTTCCTGAAGCAAGAGGAAGTACTGTGTGCATGCACAGCCAGCCTTGGCTGCTGTCAGACGCTCTGTGCATTCCAAATGATTCCCAATTAAGAAAAATCCTTGTAAGAATAAATAAAGCTTAAAACTAAGTTTTATCATTCTGCAGCTGTAATGACTGGGTAAGACAGTTAGGGACCAAAAGAAGCAAGGACGCATGGTTTGAACTGTATAGATCTCATGAAGTTATCACATTGCACACTTTACATATGTACCATTTTATGTATACACCATTTTTATTTATCAATTGTACCTTGGTAGCAGTTTAAAAATATCAAATCAAAGCTAGAATCACAAAAAAATAATTTTCTAAGTTACAAAAGGTGTTTATTCTGAAATAGTCTTGAAAAAACTGCAACTGGGAGCTGGAGAAATGACTCAGCCATCATGAGTACTTGCTACTGTTGCAAAGGATCTGAGTTCAGTTCCCAGAAGCAATATGACAGCTCACAACCATTCATCACTCCAGTTCTAAGGGATCCAACCCCCTCTCTGACCTCTGAGGGTACCAGACACACATAATGCACATACTTATATATGTGGGCAAAACATTCATACACATAAAATGACACCAACTGGCAAGCTAAGCAATAGTGGAGAAACCACCTCGAATGCCCATTCCTGATAATGAACTTTATGTCTATAACCATCCTGGAGCCTTCATCTGGTGACTGATGGAAGCAGAGGCAAACACCCACAGTTAAACGCTGAACTGAATCCAAGGAACCCAGTGACAGAGAGAGAGGAGCAATGAGCAAATTGGCAAAGAATGGGCTGGCAAAACCAGCAGAGACAGCTGATCTGAACAGGGGAGAGCTCTTGGACCCCAGACTGTCAGCTGGGAGGCCAGCATTGGACTGATCCAGAACCCCTGAATGTGAGAGTCAGTGAGGAGGCCTGGGCAACCTATGGGGCCCTGAGCAGTGGATCAGTGTTTATCCCTGGCATACAAATGGACTTCGTGTGTCCATAGCACAAAAAGGGATGCTCTCTCAACCTGGACTCTTAGGGGAGTGCCTGGACCCTACCCTGAGCAAAATGACAGACTCTAGATATCCCCTATGTGGAAGTGGCAATAGGGTGGGAGGCTGGGGAGGGGGATGGTGGGGAGGTCCAGGAGGAGGTAAGGGAGAGGGAACTGGGATTGACATGTGAAACAAGCTATTTAAAATTAAAAGAATAAAAACAGAATAAACAAAAGACAAATATTTAAAAAAATCTAAAAGTTAAAAAAGTAACTTGCAAGTACACCTAGTAAATACTGGAAAATTAAACAATGGTCAAATTTCTCAGACCTTGATAATGTTGAAACTAAATTCCAATGATGGCATCAAATAGAAATCAAGTTATCCTTTAAAAGAATCCCAGCACTTGGGAGGCAGAGGCAGGTGGATCTCTGAGTTCCAGGCCAGTCTGGTCTACAAAGCGAGTTCCAGGACAACCAGGACTGTTGCACAAAGAAACCCTGTCTAGAGAAAACAAGCAAACAAACAAAAGGGTTATTTCCTCAGTTTGTACTCTGTCCTTCACTCACAAATATAGATTTTTTTATTCTAAGTTTATGACAATTTAGCACAAAAATGAAGAAGTCCCTTGTTCTCTGTATCTTACCCTCCTCATCTGTTAGAACAAAATTATTGCTTGTCTTACAGAATGCTAGTATCATTTGCTAGAAACCTCATGAGCTTTTAATCTAGACACACCTGAGAATACTGCCCAGTACAGCTCAACCTTAACTTGCTGTATAGCACGTTAGTGAATTTCTGAGTCTAGATTTGTACCTCATAACAGTTTTGCAAGAGTAAAATAAATGTACTTAGTTTAGCTTACAAAAGATATCCCATAAGGATTAGTATAGCTTGTCTCTGCCCACTTTAGAAGTGTGAAGATAAGCTCAATTATAAAATCCCAGGAAAGAGTGAATATTTCTTATTATTTTTCAGAGGAAATAATCCAACTAATTAATCTAAATGGAAGTATTTTGGAGACAGTATCTTTTTAATCCAAGAGAAAGGCCAAAATCTTTTTAAAGCAGAAAGAAACATATTTAATATCCTCATTTATGAAAAAGGAAGCTAAAACTATTGGAGTTTGGGGGTTCCTCAAACCACTACTGGCTGATGAAGTGGAAATCCTAGCCCAGAAACAATAGAATTTTGTGACAAAACCAGATCTGTCTTAGTGTCACACTATTTTGGGCGATCTTTCCTGCTGAGTTGTCAATTTCAACTTGACCTTATTATATCTTAACCAATCTTGAGGAAGATGGTTACACCAGAATAATAATTCAACACAACAGACATTTTTGTGATTGTGCTCTGATAATACCATCCAGGAGTGAATGAGAAGTTGACTCTTGAGGAAGAACACTTTGATCCTCTACCCCTTGTCCTTGTGTCACAAATGAGGAGTCCTTGAAATCCACCACTGAGAAGCAGAGCTCTTTCCTTCTTGCTCATCCATCTGCACCTTTCTTGTCTCCTGTCCAAATATTACATGAACTTCTGCTTACTCACTTCAGTAGAGATATGCTGGCATGAGAAACTAGTCCAAGTAAAATCCTTGTCCACCTTCAGATAAGGTTGGGCTTCGGTGTATTCTTATTTTAGCTTTGTGACAGTATCTGAAGAAAATTGACACAGTTAACATGAGAAGAATGTACATTCCAGGGCATCTTTCCATTAAACAGGAGTCAGAAATAATGAAATTTCAAGTCAGCACAGGAGACAGTAGGGAAGGATTTTGGCATTCTCCAGTTTTGAGTCATAACTGGTACCTTGTTAGCATAAGCCAGAAAGAATATTTTGTGACATTTCAGGATTCACCAATGGCAAATGAATACCTAACTCAATATTTGCCTTAACTTAGGGTCTCCTTAGGCTTAGCCAGTTGGAAAGGAAATTAAAAACAAAATTAAATCCAACTAGCAAATCTATTTTTCCTTTGTTTTGAAATGATACTATAATTATATAATTTTCCCTTCCCTCTCATCCATTCAACCCCTCTCATATATCCCTTCTTGTAAGAAGATATGGGAGAATATTTAAATCACTGTCACCAAATAATTTACCAGCAAACACCATTAAAATTATACACACAGGGAAATCTGTACCCAAATGAATTCTGCATTTAAGACAGTAGCTCAGAAAATAGAAACATCTAGGTAAGTTGAAATCATTGAAAAGGCAAATTAAAAATGATTCTCTTGGCAGAAGAAAAACACCTTTTTCTGTAGGAATAATAAAAATTAAGGAATATGTTAAGAGGCATGGATACCTGCAAGTACTAGACATTAGATAAAAATGTTCAGAAAAAAATAAAATAAATTCCTTCCATGTTCCTTCAGGTTAAAAGAACTGACTCTGAGCTATACTCTAGTAATTTAACTGTATTCATTACTGTCTTAAATTGAGAAATATGTATATATATATTTGTAATTCTGATGGGCAATGTCCTTCTGTATGCTGTGAATATATGTTTCTCTTATTGCTTGATGAATAAATGTTGACTGGCCAGTAGCCAGGCAGGAAGCATAGGAAGGACTACCAGACAAGGAGATTTCTGGGAAGAGGAAAGGCAGAGAGAAGAGCCACAAGAGAGATGCTATGTAGCTACTGGGAAGATAGGATGCCTGGGCATGTAGAAATATATAGGTTAATAGTTACGGGTTAATAATTAGGAGAGAGTGAGCCAGTAAGAAGCCTAAGCCATTGGCCAAACAGTTTATAATTAATATAAGCCTCAGTTTGTTTATTTGGGACTAAACAGTTGCAGGACTGGGTGGGACAGAAACTTCAATCCACATAGTTCAGCTATGAACTAAGAAACAGTAAAATGTATCAGGCATCCACTCTGTAATAATTAGGCACCCAAATGTAATAATCATTACATATGAACATCAAGTATCCCTTTGTTGAATGTTCACTCTATGAAAATAATAAAACTGATACTTGGAAAGATGATTCATTAGCTCATACAAGTAGAAGAAGGGTTGAATTGTCATCTGTTGAACCAGAACATTTATATTGTGTGTATCTTTCTATACTAGATAAATAAGTTGTGAAATGTATAATATCTATGACAGAACATTTATACATGATCAGCTTCTTCGCCAGTCCTGTGTTACTACAGTCTACAGTCCTTGGCCCAATCTCCTTTTACAACTGTTTATTATGACTTCATTCTCAGTGATAGTGCATGGTGTCCCACATTCAGTCAGAAGCATCTACCATGCCAGAATTTAGTGAGAAATGATATGCACACGATCTAAGATGCTCTAGATAGTAGAGTCTTTCTTATCTTATTTTCTCCAATATGGCACACTTGAGATAAATAAGTCGTAGGGAAGAAAGAAGGGGAGGAGAAAAAGAAAGGGAAGGGAGGGGAGAAAGGGGGAGGGGCACAATTATATAATTAGGATTTCAATCTTGGAATTTGAAGGCTAGAACTATTAAGATTGATAAATGCATACTCTATAAAAATAATTGTGGGACAGAGTATGTAGCCCAGTCAGTGGTAGAGTGCTTACACACAAGGCCCTGAGTTTGATCACTTAGCACCAGAACAAAGAGGATAATGTATAACTTACTATTCATAAGTAAATACACGTGCTCATCTCTCTCGCTCTCGCTCTCTCTCACTATATATATATATATATATATGCTATGTCTATATGTGCAGACACATACATACATGTGTATATTATATCTACAATAATTCCAAATTAAACAGAAGTTTCTTATAATAACCCTCAATTCA